GTCATCACCATCTTTTCCCAAATTTCTAGATCGAGAACCCTACTCTCCGCCGCACCTCCCTTGGTGGATTCCTTCCTCTCGCCTCATTGATGGGGGAATTTTTGAAACCAATGCTTTAGCAAACCCATAAATAAGTTGTTGAATAACAAGCACATATGCAAAATAGAACTAGGAAGGTAGCTACTACAACTTTAGAATGCAGCGCAAATCAGAAAAATAAATAGTCAAAGCATCTCTAAAGAACAAGATTATCTTCACAAAATGTTAGCTCAACCAACAAGATTATCTTCACAAAGCGTCAGTTCAAACCAACTCAATTAACCGGACGAACTTATAAAAAGGGAGAAAACAATGGAACTCATCGTAGCCCAGGAGACGGAGTTTGTGGAGGCTAGAATCACGTCGACGAGAGCATATCCATTGATAGAGGTTCTTCGATGACTGGAGATGGACCACCATGTTTGAGTGAATCCTGGTAAGAAGATTTGGAATCAGTGAAATGGCTGTAACATTCCCCCGTGCCGCCACCAAGTTCAGATTCATTAGAAGGAGAACTAATAGTGAATTGCATGTCTTTGATTCTGAATAAAAAAAAAATACTTGAACTTTCGTGAAAAAGTTTGACAAAACACAAATTTGGGTGAAGCAAAAAGAAAAATTGAATCGACAGAGAAGCCACGTGAGGATTTTGTGCCTTCTTCATTTCCCAATTATTTACATAAAATCAGACATAAGTTATATAGCCAATCTAGAATAGTGATTAAGAAACTAATCTAGCTAAACTAACCTAACCACTACCCCAGCTAATTACAAGTTTTGGATCTCTCTTATCTTGAATCCCCCTAGTTCCATTGTTTCACTACCAAAAAAAAGACTTTTGATCATAGGGTGAGATTTTTTCAATGGAGCATCGGTCATTGGAAGTAATTCCCGTGACTAAGTGTCTCAAACGGAGAGTTTAAACCCTGGGGAAAGTTCCCCGTGTTTGATGATACACTGATCCCGTGACTGAAAAATTCATTCCCAACTTTCAGGTAGCGCCCATTCATGCCTCCAAAATTTCCAATTGCAATTTCACCAAATTTTTAGAGGCAAAATCAAACCCTTATCTCAAATTTCTCTCTCAACCCTTCCCCTTCTGTTGAAAATCGTTCAAAACCTGCAGATTTGTACTCCTAGTGCCGCTTCGTTCCCTCCATCACCAACAGCGATAGATCTCTACTCCTAATGCCTCTTTGAATGCATTTTTGTTGATTTATGGTCTCCTCCTTCTCATGAGATTCCTCTTATCCTTCTTTGCTTCCTATTGTCTCTTCGAAATTTGGAACCAAGACATCTCATTTCTTCAATCTGCAGCTTCAGCCTCCGTAGTAGTCTCTGCGTTTCCCAGCCACTTGATAGGCCGTTATTTGCACATGTTTTGGCCGCCATTATTGAGCCGTTTGAGAGTCTATTCTCGTATTTTAAGCCGATTTCACGCTAGATTGTGCGTTATGTCATATTTCAGGACTTGGTCTGGACATGGGGGCATGGAAGCGAGTTTCAGGTCAAAAAATGGAGAGGGCGACTTGGCGCCTAATGGAGCTGGAGGCCAAAATACCCAGTCAGGACACTCAAATACCCGACCAAAAATATGGTGACGGCTTTCATGAGCACCAGCATAGAGAAGTTCGCCAGGATGGACCAGTTCATGGAATTTTCTATGGGGAAATTCAATGCACTATAGGCAGGCCAGAGAAACCAGAGTGCTATTTTGCAGGATCTCCATAACCAGATTGGAGGAATAGCTCGCAACAACAGCACTAGGGCACCGGGAACTCTACCTGCCAACACCATTCCAAATCCTCACGAGCCTCACTAGTAGTTGGATGTCATCACTACTAGAAGTGGCAAGACGACGTCTACTGTACCTGCTCCGGACAGGTAGGATTAACCAACACCTATTCCAGCACTTCCAGCTGAAGATGAAGAGGTGGGGATAGAGAAGGAAGCACCTGCTCCCAAGCCACAACCAGTGTTCCCTTCTCTACTCGTATGCACAAGGAAAAGCTAGAGACTGAGTTTGCCAAGTTCATGGCAATGTTGAAGCAAGTCAACATCAGCATGCCGTTCGTGGAGGCACTGTCGAAGATGACCAAGTACGCAAAATTCATGAAGGATCTCCTCACCAACAAAAAGAAAATTAGGGATCTCTCGACCGTGATGCTGAGCGAGGAATATTTTGCAATCTTGAAGAACAAGTTGCCCGAGAAGCGCAAAGACCCATGGAGTTTTACTACCCCTCTTGTTATTGGAAGCATGCATGTAGGAAAGTCCTTGGCGAACCTAGGCGCTAGTATTAATGTCATGTCTAATAAACTATTTAAGAAGCTAGGCCTAGGTGAACCTAGAACCACTAGGATGAGTATTTAGTTAGCTGATCGGTCGATTGTGCATCGTAAGGGTATCTTAGAAGACTTGTTTGTTAACATGGGTGCATTCACATATCCTGTTGATTTTGTTATTCTGGATATAAATGAAGATGTGGATGTGTCTTTGATTTTGGGTAGACCGTTTCTTGCCTTGATGTGCATAGTGGCAAGTTAATTTTGTGGGCTGGGGATGAGCAAGCTATATTTACTGTTTCTGACAATGCGAAGCATTCCCATGTGCATGATGAATTAGATTACTGTGACATGTTTGCTGATTTTGAAATCGCACTCGCCATCACGAGTGCGGGTACTGACGATGCCCTTGAGCGTTGTATTTTGCTAGGTGAGCAGGCATCGGAAGAGCTGCAGCTTGAGGAGCAGTTGGCCGCACTAGAGCATGGCGAGTTTTTTGAGGTCGAGAAATCGTTTAAGCCGATCTCATCCTTGAATTGCATCACCACCTCTCTAGAGGAGCCACCAGAACTGGAGCTGAAGCCCTTCCCTCCTTACTTGGAGTCTGCATTTCTCCGGGAGGGGAACAAGCCTCCAGTCATCATCAGCTCGACCCTTACACCCGAGCTGAAGATCAGACTGTGGCCTTGTTGAAGAAGTACGAGCGAGCTCGGGCTTGGAAGATCACAGATATTTGGGGGATCAGCCCTTCCTTCTATTCCCACCGGATATTGTCAGAGGATGAGATTTGGTCGGTGAGACAGCCCCAGCGGAGATTGACACCGAATCTGGAGGTTGTGGTTCGAGCGGAGATTATCAAGATGGTGGACGCGGGAATCATCTTCGCCATTTCTGACAACGAGTGGGTCAGTCCCACTCAGGTGGTGCCTAAGAAGGGTGGGTTGACTGTGGTTCCCAATGAGAAGAATGAGCTCATCCCGATGCACAGGGTGACCGGGTACCGCGTTTGCATCGACTATCGCTGCCTCAACGATGCTACCCGGAAGGATCACTTCCCTTTGCAATTCATTGACCAGATGCTCGAGAGGTTGGCGGGGCACGAGTTCCACTGTTTCTTGGATGGGATGTCTTGGTATTTTCAGATTCCCAGAGCACCGAAAGACCACCTTCACCTGTCCTTTCGGCACATTTGCTTACTGGAGGATCCCATTCGGGCTTTGCAACGCCCCAGCCACATTCCAGTGGTGTATGCTTGCCATCTTCGATCGTCTGGTCGGAGAAATCATGGAGGTGTTCATGGAAGATATTTTGGTTTATGGAGACTCGTTCTCTCACTGTCTCCATAACCTGGAACTCGTCCTCAAAAGGTGTGAGGAGACGAACATGGCGTTGAGTTGGGAGAAGTGCCACTTCATGGTTCGCGAAGACATAGTTCTGGGGCATAAGATCTCCAAGATGGGGACAGAGGTGGACAGAGCCAAGATCGAGACAATCAGCAAGCTGCCTCCTCCCACATCTTTATAGGGGATTTGTAGTTTCTTGGGTCATGCAGGTTTCTATAGCGGTTCATAAAAGACTTATCGAAGATCACCTTTCCCCAGTGGCGGACCCATAAATTTTTCATAGGGGTGTCCTATTTTAAAAAATAAATTAAATAAAAATAAAAATAATTAATAAAAATAAAATTGTAAATATGAAAATACCTTACTCGTACACGATCTGTTTTCATATTCGAAAATAATTGTAGAATACACTTGGTGTCTATAGTGTTAAAAATTGTCTCTTTATACACTGCTAGACAATCATTCACGAACTTATCGCATATTCGATTTGTAAACTTGTTCTTGATGTAACCCAAAGCTGAAAGACTCTTTCAACACTTGTCGTACAATCATAAAATCAATACAAATTAAGGATAGGTTGAAATTAGTTTAATTGTTAGGTTTTTAAAATAATTAGAGATAGGGAATGCCATTTTACTATTACACATTGTTCAAAATCGAACAACAAATGAGTTTAGCTCAACGGAAATTAAGTTTATTAATAATAATAGTGTTCTAGATTTGAATTATACAACCTACCACTTATATTCCTATACACAAATGATAGTAGGATAATCATTTTTTCAAATTTAAGGGGTGTCCCTCACTATCAATTATATTTTTTTGTCCATACGTAAATTACCACCGGGGTTGGATAATCGTTTTCCCAAAATTTAGGGGTGTCCGGGGACACCCTTAAACCACCCTGGGTCCGCCCCTGCCTTTCCCCCACTACAAGAAAATTGATCTTTCATCACGGGATTATTATTACGGGATTTTTCCCGTTACTAAACGTTTAATAATTGTCACGGGAAATAATTCCCATAATTAATTAAGTCAGATAGCCTTTATTGGTAATGGGATAATAACCCGTTATTATTATCTTTGAACGTCTTGTGACAAATGAAACAAAAATATTTGGCAGAATGCTTTTGGCTCCAATCTTTTCGTTTTGGCTCCAAAAGTTGAAAAGAGAAACACGTTTTGGCTCCAAAGAAAGAAAAGTGAAACACCCAAATTCATTTAAAAAAAATTAAAACAAGAGCTTGTTTCTACTTTTGGCTTTACCAAAACCCCTAGTTCAACTCTACCACACACACAAAAATAAAATCCATAGCTCAAAAACGCATCCTCGACCTCCTTATTCCTTCCCATCCCAATCTTGCCCATCACAATTCAATCTAGTCGTTCATCGCCGATAAAAGGAACGCGCCTCACTCATCTTCTGGTATTGTTGAAGTTCGGATCAAGGTGTGGAGAAGGATTGCGAAAGGTTTCCTTCCTTCAACCGAATGGGGCCCTTTGCCGGTAAAGTGGAATACCTCCGCCATTTTGAGGAACTGGTGAATTCCATATCGGTCGCGAAGGGAAGGATTTTGAAACCAGGTATGCCAACCAGCGTCTCCGCCTCTCCATATTTCCATTTATCAAGAGAGCAAAAGGATGGCTAGATTATGCTTCAGTATTGACTCTTTCTTCATTTTAGTCAGCTCAACCCCTTGTTTTGGGTTTCATTTTATGTCTGATGAAAATCTCCTTGCATCCATCGCCTTCATCTTCTATTTGGTTTTTGTTCTCGACTCATAATCTAGCTACTCGCCTATGTGAGCTAGGATATATTAGGGCTCAAGAAAGTGTAACTAGGGGCTTAATAAAGCTGCGATTGCTGTAAGCAGAGAAAAAAACATGTTATGTGCTTCGATAGGGGAAGTGCCCCTAGGCGGCACTGTGGGATTCAAATCATCGAGTAAGCGGTGATGAAGTAAGGTTTCTGCTCTGCGGACATGGAAAAAAACAGTCAATTGTCTTCTCCCCGACCCAACCGCTAAGTAACTGTCGGCATCTCTCACTTTATGACTCTGCTAGTATGTGTCTTGCTCTCTATCATCTCTTAATTTCAATCTCAATCGATCAGATTCATCTTCTTACCTCTTGCTTGACACTATTAGTTCACTGGTGCTTCTGCATCTCGTCAGCCTCTGTATCTCATGGGCCACTAGGTAAGTCCTCCCCTGTTTCTATTTTAGACTATTTGTAGCTCTGTTATGCTATTTTTAATTACAACTTGTGACCTAGGGATAGACAGATTATTATCCCGTAACCAATTGTTGTTACATGGCCTCATAATCAATTGAAACCCCACCTTAAACCTTGATGGAAATTAATATTACAACACGTTTAAGGATTAGGGGTTGATAGACTAATTGAATTGCCCATTCTACTCAACTAACCTGCAGCAAATTGAACCCTTTATCTCCTTGTCCTTTTTCTTTGTTTGCTTTGTATCTTTTTGGGGTATGCATCCTCACCTCACCTCACCTCAGAACAATCTTCTTTCAGTGTAAACACATCGGCTTGGGCCTGGAAAAGGCAGTTGTTGCTACCATTCTCTCACAATGAGACTTTTTGGCTTGTGTTCTCTTCTACCTGTCTAGTACCATTGAATTGTATGCAGGAAAATTTTCATAAAAAAGTACTAGCTTTCTTTGAAGTAATCACTTCTGCACTAATTATATCCTTGTTTGTTGTACACCTATCTAGAGGACTAGGCAAATGCACTTTAGCCTTTTGATTTATGAGTTATGATCCCTAGTGAATTGAAATTGCATTGAACCTATATACTTTATCCATTTTGGCTATGCTCAATGTTTAGACTTGTTTATGTTCTGATTCCAGGTATGATATGATCATACCTGAGAATTTTGTGTATTATCTGTTGATGATGTATTCTGCCAATATGTCTATCCTTAATGCTTCTTGAAATCTAACTTTGCTTGGTTTTCAATAGGTACCAGTTACCAGAATCATCCCACTCTATTGAGATAAGATGGATTCACAAGGAGACTTGTGCTTGCACGCTTATTTCCAAAAAAAAAAAAGTAATCTTGTTCACACGCGGTTTGTCTCAGTTAGGTCCCGACAAGAGGCTTCTGTTACTAATCAGCCCTTGGTATGCATTTCTTAACTATAATTTTACATACAATTCAAGTAGAGGAAATGTTCTGTAAATTAACACTTCAATGTATATGTTCTTTACATACATAATTTCTATTCTTTATAGAATTGTTGTATTTTGTTATTTGGAGAGTGTTGCTGACTTTTTATTAGCTCTAGTCTTATTATGATCCCTTATGTATAAGTATATGAATGAATGTGATGTTTTAATGTTTCTTAGTTTTGTCACATGTTGGTAGTGTTATTCAGCTAATTTAATTTTGTTATTTCTGTTTTATAATTCAGAAGTGCAAGGCAAGGAGAATGACTGAAAGAAGGGTGAAGCAAGAGAAGAGTAGTCCAACTTTGCACGTTTTCAAGTGCAATGGCAATTTTATTTTGAAGAAAGATATAAACTACCCAAGCTTGTTTTGTTGAAATATTTGGTGTTTGTGATATGTTTGATTAGATAAGTTCCATGTGACTTTATATTTCTTAGTTGTTGATCAACATTGACGAGTGAACGATATATGGTTCTCAGGCTTCTTAACTGTTTCAAGCAAGAATTCATCCTGTAACTATTGCATGATTTCTCTCGTGACAAGTGATGCATACCTGTGATTAGTAAGGACAAACGATTATGGGTTCCCCGATACTATTTAGACAAAACAAGTTGCTCTAGCTTGGTCAACTCATTACATTTCGGGACTATTGGACAATATCCCGTGACAAGTAACCTAATTAGTCACGGGAAATCCTGTGACTATTTTTTAAATTTGTCACGGTAAATTTCCCGTGTTCAAAGATTAGTCACAGGAAATACCGTGACCAAATTGATAATTTTTCATGGGGTTTTCCCGTAATTGGATCTTTCTTAGTCATGGGATTTCACGTGATAATGGACCTTCAATCACGGGCACGCTTGTCACGAGTATTTCCCGTGACAATATCTTCCATTACGGGAATTGGTTGTTTCATCACGGGAATTCCCGTTATTGAAGGTGGATTTTCCTGTAGTGCCCTGACTAAGCTCCTTGAGAAGGATACCCCCTTCCGGTTCACTGGCGCGTGCACATCAACATTCACGACCTTCAAGGAGAAGCTCACTCATGCTCCTATAATGGTCACTCCTGATTGGACCTTAACATTCGAGCTAATGCGACGCAAGTGACTTCGTTGTTGGAGCTGTCCTAGGGCAGAGGCGAGACCAGCATTTCCGACTTATCTATTACGCATCGAAGACCCTCCATGACGCCCAAAAGAACTACACCACCACGGAGAAGGAGTTGTTAGCGATGGTGTTCGCCTTTGACAAGTTTCGCCCTTATCTCATCTTGTACAGCGTGATAGTGTACACAGATCACTCTGCCATAAGATACCTGATGAGCAAGGCTGACGCCAAGCCTCGACTCATACGATCTTATTATTGCAGAAGTTTGACATCGAGATCCGGGACAAGAAGGGAGCCGAAAATGTTGTTGTTGATCATCTCTCTTGTTTGGAAGCACCTCTTGCGGACAACCTCGAGGAGGAGATCAACGACTCATTTCCAGATGAGCGACTGATGATGATGTGCCTGGTGGAAGAGTGTCATCCCTTGGGGACAGGTTACGGTGATTACTATTCTATAGTAATCATCGTGGTTACTAAGGACAAACTGGGTATGACAAAAAAATTATTATTTACCTTTTTTAACAAATTACATTTTAGAAAGTTACAAAAATATATTAATTACAATTCTCTCTCTTTCTCTCACTTCCACAATCTCCAGCCAGATCTCTCTTCCTTTTTTCCAATCTTTTCCTTGTTTCGTTCAGCCGAACTAATACAGCTGCAACAATAAAACAATACCAATCCATTAAAAGAACACTACCAATGCATAAAACACAAATACCATTCGTGAAATAAAAACGCTACCATTTCACAAAAGACTAATACAATTGCAGATTTATCAATATCAATAAATGCAAATCAATACCATTAGATGATAATCAATACCAAAGCAAAAAAAGAAAATAATACCAATGTGAAAAACACTACCACTACTAAAAAACTACCATTTCACTGAAAAGCAATACACTTACATGATAATCAATACCAATGCGGAAAAAATGATACCAATGCGAAAAACACTACCATTACGAAAAAATTACTACCAATGCGGGAAAAACAATACCAATGCGAAAAAAAAAAACACTACCACTACGAAAAATCACTACCAAAGCGAAAAAATCAGAACTAGGGTTTTTATTCATCCCACCTTTTCCAGCCACAGCCGTCTCCCAGAGAGAGAGAGAGAGAGAGAGAGAGAGAGAGAGGAGGAGGGAGGGAAGTGGGCAGGGGAGTAGGGAGGGGAGTGGGCGGTCGGCGGTGTGGTGGGCAGGGGAGGGTGGTTGGGTAGAGAGAGAGAGAGAGGAGGGTCGACGTTGTAGGGAGGAGGAGGAGGGAGGGTTGGTGGGCGGCGGAAGACGGACACGTGAGGAGAGGAGGGCTCGCTGGAGGGAGACGGCTGAGAGGGATAGGTGGGGAGTGATTAGGTTTGAAGGAATAAAAATCAAATGTGATATTATTTTATTTCCAAAAGTATTCTTAATCTAATTTGTATCGTCAATTTTAAAATATAATAAAATATAGATAATGAATGGTAAATATTTTTGGTAGCCACCGTGAATACTCAAAAGTGAGTAATCATGCTAACACATTCCTCACCCCTTGGTTCTCCGATTTTACGAACTGTCTGGTGGGCCAGCAGCTGCCCAAGGGGATGAAGACTCACGCCAAGAGGAAGTTTTTCTCCGACTTGAAGAACTACTTATGGGATGGCCCGCATCTCTTCAGGATTGGAGTCGATGGGGTCATCCGTCGCTGTGTCATGGAAAATGAGATGGAGGGCATTCTGTCTCATTGCCATGCGGGACCTACTGGCAGGCACCATGGCGGTAACCGCATGGCGAGGAGGTACTACAGTTGGGCTTCTACTGGCCCTCGCTCTTCAAGGACGCCGATACCTTCGCACGTATGTGCGACCGATGCAGAGGTTAGGTAACATCTCTGCCTGTGATGAGATGCCTTATAATGTGTTTATTACTTGTGAAATTTTTTATGACTGGGGTATTGATTTCATGGGCCCCTTCCCTCTGTCATTTGGTAATCTATACATCTTAGTTACTGTGGATTACGTCTCTAAGTGGGCTGAAGCACAGGCTTTGCCCACCAATAATGCTAGACGTGTTTGCCAGTTTCTTAAGCAGTTGTTCTCCCGGTTCGGGATGGCTAGAGCCATCATTAGCGACAGAGGCACCCATTTTCAAGGCCAATTCGATAAAATCCTCTCTCTCTATGGTGTCATTCACAAGGTGTCTATGGCGTACCACCCCCGAACGAGTGGTCAGACAGAGCTGACGAATCGGGAGCTTAAGCGCATAACTGAGAAAACGGTGGATCAATCTGGCAAGGATTGGTCCATCGAGCTCGATGATGTTATCTGGGCATACCGAACTTCCTACGAGACGCCGATCGGTACTTTGCCGTATCGGCTTGTCTATGGAAAGGCATGTCACCTGCCTGTTGAGCTAGAGCACAAGGCCTTCTAGGCCCTTCAGTTGCTTAACTTGGATGTGAGTCTTGTAGGTGTTGAACGCAAGATGTAGATGCTGGAGCTGGAGGAATGGCGTCATCACGCCTATGAGGACACCAAGTTGTACAAGGAGCGCACTAAGCATCTTCACGACGCTCGATTGAGGGGTCCAAAGGGGTACTGAGCCGTTTAAAGTGAATGACCATCATCTCAAACTCTATCTAGGAGACGAGGTCGAACGTGCGGAGTTGGTTGTTGAACTCGCGGACCCTTAGCTACGCTAGCTGCATCAAGCTAAAGACGTAAAAGAAAGCTCTTGTGGGGAGGCAACTCCACCACGGTTTGCATTTCTTTTTCCCTTTTCATTTGATTTTTGGCATGTTCGAGTAAGTTTGCGATGTGTGATGAAGTTAGGTCGTTTGGTATACCTTGGTCTGGGTTAAATCTGCTCAGGGGAGTTCGAAAAATGCAAAAAACTTGACTTTGGCCGAAAAAGGGGTTAATACCCGATCGTGGAATCAAATACCCGACCGGGTATTTTGGCCTTGCGTCCGGGCCGCCTTCTGTTCATAGGGTGGGGAAAAGGTCAAATACCCTGCCGCGGGCATCAAATACCTAACCATGTATTTTTTCCCTTTTTAATCCAAAACCTGGCCGCGATTTTGCATCCCTTGCCCTCCACTCGCGTCCCTCTACTATCGTACTTGTGTTTCCAGGTGTGTGTCTTGACTATTTTTTGCTATTTCTGGAAAATCGGACTGGGAATGTTAGGTCCGTGAACTGTGAACTAATTGGCATGATTGAACTAGGATAGGGTGAGGGATGCTGTTGATGTGGCCTTCTAGTGCGGATTAGGTGCCTGATTACCTGTATGCTCCCATTTTGCCATGATTCATGCTTGCACTGTGGTTGTTTTGCTGTGTTCTTACTGCAAATCGACTGCTTTGTGCTTGACTGCTTACCTAGGTGATCTTTAAGTGTGGGGTACTGTAGAACCCCTGCTTGCTGTCCTAACAGGATTTTCTCTTAGTTCCATCTTTGGTTTGATTATTATGCAGGATCATGTCTCTCACGCACCCATACGTGCAGGACTTGCGCCTTCACGTCGATTTTGCTGACCAGTTCGCCAGGGTCATCAAAGGGGTGCTTCACCGCCACCATCACCTCGAGTTTGGGGTTTTTCACCAGCTCCACTTCATCGATGAGATGGATGCTGCCATCTGCCACCCTCACTGGCGGGTTCTCTTGACTACCATAGGTTCCACCTACACGGAGCTGTTTTGGAATTTCTACTCCACCTTTAAGTATCGCCCCAAGGTGGCTCGCGACTCCATCAGCGGCGTCACTTTCCGGCTTGGCGGCCATATTCGGCAGATGAGCATCGACGGGTTAGCTCATGCCTTGGGGATCCATTATTATTTGTACTCCAGACATCACAAGGAGGTCCCCAATCCTCCCGACTTTAACCAGGATGACTTCTACCGACACTTCATCCTAACTAACTACAGGCAGGGATCGTTCGAGGCCAGCCACACGACTGTCTCTACCATTCGAACCGAGTGGTACATCATCAACCTCCTGCTCACCCGCTCTGTTATCCCCAACGCCACCGGTTGCACAAGATACCTAAGTGTGTGCTTTATGCCATGTACTCCATGGGGGATCCCGACCACATGCTACACTTGGGGTCTTTCGTGGCGACTACCTTTGCCCGGTGCTACGATAAGCCCAACTACTTCTTCTGTGGTACCCTAATCACCCGTCTGGCGCACCACTTTGAGATCAACCTTGAGGGGTTGACCTACGCCATAGATCACAGTGGCTCCTCTCCTCTCACCAGGGATGTGCTTCATAATGCACTCCTGTTGGCCTCTACTGAAGCCGGGGGGGGGGGGGGGGGGGGGTCGACGGGTTGTCCTTGCCTCCAGCTGTTGCCGAGGATGATGCGGATGACGAGGATGATGATGATTATATAGGAGAGGAGGAGGACGACGCAGATGACGATGATGATGATGAAGGGGCTATGGATGCAGATGAGACGGAGCCCCCACTTACCCCTCAAGGAGATCTTCTTCCATGATGGAGACCCGAGAAAGGTCAGTTCTCCTTCGGTCCTTCTGTTCCGTCGATGGATTTCTTCACCAAGCAGTTCCACCAGATGAGGCTCGAGTTTCAGTAGCTCGGGCTCCAAAACCAGCAGCTCATGGGCCACTAGCACCAGTTTCAGCAGCAGTACTCAGCAAACCAGGCTGCGTACGCCACGAGGATGGTTGCGTTTGACGAGCGCCTCGACCGTATCGAGGCTCGGCAGGGTATTACCCTTTCTTACATCGAGAGGGAGCGAGGCCGCAACCGTCGGATGTTGGAGTACCACGAGCACCTACTAGCCCTTTCATCCGCCGCAGAAGCACCACTGGATCACTCCGTGGGACCACTCACCACCACCACCACCACCGTCGGATGCCTTTGACGACCTCATGGAGCATATTAACTTCGACCAGCTCGAGTAGGCTGTACTCGTAGACATTTCTCTGTGTTGTCATTTGTTTTATTTTGTTTTGGGACGGAGTGCCTATTGGATTTTGTGTGTTGGTTGTTTTTTTTCTTTTGGTTGTTGTACTATTGGGCTGACAACTTTACCTAACGCCTTTGTGCTTGAGTGATTGTTTTTGCTCTAGTCCGTGATCTTGCTTCGACTGGTCCCATTTCCAGTCCCCCTCTCTCCGACTGGTCTACTTTTCAGTCTGTTGCAGTCTGTTTATCCCGGTAACATTGTTCCCCTTATCCTTCCCTCTTCTCCATTTAGGGCAATGTCGTGCTTAAGTGGGGGGGGGTTCTATTTGATTGTTTATATATATTTGCGTGCTTGGAGCCTAGTCGACTGTCAAAATATCGATTTGAGGGCTCCCAATACTGTTCCCTGCAAAATCATGCTTGGTATACTTTGAATTAACAGTCTTTATGGTGATATGCAACCTAGGGAGGTAGTTGTAGCACTATGCAGGATGTTGAAGTATAAGATTTTTCCTATATGTCTCTCTGTTGTGCCGGTTGATTTGGTGAACTAGTGGATTTAGGATCATTAATTCATGTGGTATTGATAATTCTCCTTATGTTGTGTTGTGGACTCGTGTATCGAAAAATGTGCTCAATTATTGGAAATGAAAAAGCAGTTGGTCCTCCACGTCAAAACTTTGAAATTTTAAGACATAGGGTATAGGGGTGGGCATACGGTTCGGTAAAACCGAACCTAACCGAACCAAACCGAATTCAAACTGAACCAAAACTGAATAACATTACTTCGGTTCGGAATTCGGAAGAGAAAAGGGTATATTTCGGAAACCAAGGTCCTTTCGACCGAACTGAATTTCCGAATTCCGAACCGATTTTCCGAATTACTATTATTGCAAGTTTCTAATGGTGAATTTTTATGTTTGTACTTATTATGAGACTTAAATATTTGAATTATGTTAGTATTTTATGAGTTATGTGTTGAAATGTTTGATTTTATCATTGATGATGCATTTAATTGCATATTTATTCATTACATTAGGGGTGAAAAATAATTTGAAGAGAAAAAAATACAAGCTAACTTCACAAATTCGGGTTTTCATACAAAACCAAACCGAACTGGTATACATTATTTCGGTTCGGTTCGAACCGAACCGACCGAATGCCCACCCCTAATAGGGTAAGCCCAACGTGTGTGGCACTGTTCATTGCACAAAATTGGATTTTGGAAGAGACTTTAGTAATCCTTGGTGTGGTAGGCCTACAAGGTGAAGCTATGTCGTCTCTGGTACTAGTAAAAATTTCACCCGTTGAACGGTTTGCCTAATTGAGGATGTGTTTTTAAGGGCACGGATGGAGCTTCCGACACCCCTTAATTTCATTGACCCTCCACACGAAGTGAGGAAAAGAAGTTATAAGAAGTACTCTGGTGAGCGACAAATGTACATAAATTGCTCTTGCTCACCTAATAAGGGCCGACCGCGCATAAAAAACTGCAGTTGGAACCCCAGCAAAGTAAAACAAAGGAAAAAGGAACAAATAATAAGAAAAAGGGGTTCCAACAAGTGAGATGAAATGTAAGAGCACCCGGTACAAAGAGTACTTGGTTGTTAAATTGTGTGAGTCTCCTTTCCATGAATTGGTTGTCTTAGTTTCACTGCTTCTTATGATCATGGTTTGAGTCTAGTACTTGCATTGAGAGAGATAGGGGAAGTCTTAGAAGAGCAATTGACCTCGTAAGATGCTAAATGATCTAGAAAATCTTCTACCGACGATCGGGGTCACATGTTGATGTAGAGGTCTGGAGAGCTGCATTGGTTTGATTTAAGCTTGCTTGGGGACAAGCAAACAACTAAGTGTGGGGGAATTTAATAGACCGTTATTTTTACATGTTTTGGCCGCCATTATTGAGTCGTTTGAGAGTCGATTCTCGTGTTTTAAACCGATTTCACGCTAGGTTGTGCGTTTATGTCATATTTCAGGACTTGGCGTGGACATGGGGGCGTGGAAGCGAGTTTCGGGTCAAAATATGGAGAGTTGATGCCTAGAGGAGTTGGAGGCCAAAAATACCCGGTCAGGACACTCAAATACCCGACCGGGTATAATCAGCTGGGTGAGTGGGTGTCGAGTGAAAGAGCCAGAAGAAACAGAATAGGTCCCGCTCGAGGGGCATAAATACCCGATCGGGTATTTTATCCCTAGATCGGCCAATTGGGTATTACCCCCTAAGTCGCTGCGATGCGTTTGAAAATACCCGGCCGGTCCACATGAATACCCGACCGGGTATTTAGGCCGGGTTTCGAGATCTGCTGCGGTTTCAAAGGGAGTTTGAGCTCTTTGGCTAGGGATCCGAGTTTTAGAGAAAGAAAGCAAAAACCTAGAGAGAAAAATCGACGAACAAAGCCTCCAAGTCACCTAGATCGAGATTCAACATCATTGGAGCTCGATTGAAGCTTGGAGAAGTGTCGATTGATTACCAGAAGCCGTTTTTCATCCTCCACAGAATGATTTCTGCATCTGAAGCTGATTTCCTTTCTCTCTCTATGGAGTAAACTCTCTCTCCCACCTGGGTATGAAGAACCCTAGATGTGTATGTTAGGTTTGGTTTGGTTGTATGAACCCAAGTACATGTTCTTTGACGTCGATTATATTTAATTGAGGCATAATTTTCTGAATTGCATGAATCTTGATCAAATTCTTGTAGTTCCGGCTTTGACCTAGAAAGAGAATATCTGCCTAGGTTGATAGAGCACCCTTAATTGAAGGTAATGAATTGATTACTTTAGTCGAAGAGTCAATTCATTGCTCTGTACTGGATTTACTCCAGCAGATGATGTCTTGCACATTAGGGCCTCAGTTTGTTTACTCCGGTGGAAGTTAGTAGCCCACCGGGTATTCAAATTGAGAGGGTCTTGAGACCTTTAGTCGAGACTTCAGACTGAGTAAGAACCTTCCTGCAGTATAACTGTCATTGAATCTGGACTTTGAGAATTATAACCTGACTTACCTGCAATCTAGGGGGAACCATATCTGGGTGACCTGTCTTAAACTTGAACTACAACTTTTACTGCTTTGTGTTCGTTAGTTTGGTTAATACTTCACTACAATTAAATCGCTAAATAAAGCTAAATAAGAATTTCATGGAGTAGTCATCAAATCTAGGTATCAGGTTGACAATTAAATCTAAACCCGTTATACTATGCATTAGTTAATGATTACACTGGCCACTTTACAGTATTGACGAGTCACCACTATTCTCGTCGCATCTGTCGGGTGCACTATCTTCTCCGCCGCTTTTTGCAGCCACCAGTGTTCTTTATCATCTCTAATCTTCAGTCTCCTCATCTCCAGATCTACCACTCACATGCCGCCGTCGTCTAAATCAAGGAAACGGAAAGGCCGTATAAATGGCAATTTATTTGGCGAGCCGATGTCGAGGCCAGTATCCTCTGCGTCTGAAGGTTTCCTTCTTCCTGAATCTCTCTCCTCTCTAGCTTCTGTTTTTTCTTCAAACCCCTTAGCTCCGATTTGGATCTACAGATAAGATCCCACAAACAGAAAGCCCAAGGTTGAACATCTTGACCACTGCCGCCAGACGCCATCATCTTGACTAGGTTAGGTTGATTCCTCTCGTAGACTTAGGTTTTCAATCTTGTATATAATTTGAGGAGCTGGCGAGTAAATGTGGAATTGTATTCACTATTCAGTATTCACAGGTTATGTTCATTTACTAGATTCATCCTCTTTGTTGTTTGGGGAAATTTCTTGGTTTATTTTTGTATCCTTATTATCAATTAGTACTGAATCACTTTAATAGGTTTTTATTCAATATCACATATAGACTATGTTTTAACTGGCCTATGTGTAGGATTGATAAGATACAATTGTTCCGTCAATCACTGTTTTGTCGCCTTGCAATGCTTAATCCTTGTATGTTCTCGTTCAATTCTAATATCTAGTCCCTGTATTTCCCTTCTGATGCAGCAACTATTTAGTTTTATGCTAAATTTCCTTGGTCACTTTCTTGGCCATGTAATTAAAGAGACCAACATAGGAACCCGTAGACAACACCATCCCGGATATGCTGCAGGAATACATGATGAAGCTGCTGCAAAATACCAAGCTGATCACCAGGGTAAGTTTTATTGGGTCTGCTATCCACGATTTTTGAGTGTGGGTTTAGATAAACAAATGAAAAGCAGAGGTAGAACGAAATCTCTTGCTCACATTACTTTGATTCAAGGCTAGAATGAAATGCTTTATGTTGGGTATCCCTGGTTCAAGGCCGAGAATGTAGTAGAATGGCCTTGGCATGATACTTGTTTTGGATTCTTGTTGTTTTTTTTTTTTTCTCTTTTAACTCTTAATAAAATGAGATCACCCTTTATAAAAAAATATGACTCAATACCTCTATTGTTAGGAGATCGACTTCCTCGGGGATTGACCCAGATTAGTGTAGCGATGAATTGGTAATTCTCTATTTTTTTTTTATATCCAAGATAAGCCACAGGACATGATCGAACAAAATAACAAAACAAATAATAATAAAGAAAGGTAGCCAGTATATAACCGGACTCCAAATAAAAAAGTCTGTTATACCACAAAGTGGGCAGCTCTGTGAAAGCTCCAATGAGCAAAAAGCCACAAATATGACACGTAGGATAGGAGAGGAGAATGAACTTTCCCGTAAGTGGCTTCGGCTCTGGGAAGAGAGGGCTTCCTCGATGTAGGATTCTTGACAACAAATTGAGGATTCTGTAATATACAACAATCAATATATATAGGGGTCGTTTGGATAGGAGCGGATCAAGTCAGTAACTCATATGGTGAGTAACTATTAGTAACTTGTCCAAATCTGCACGACATCAGCATCTCCTCTCTCCTGGAAAGTCTTTTATCTTTTCCCCATTAATCTTTAACGAACGATTTCTCTCTCGTTTAAGTCGAAATTTAATTTTTTTTGCACAGATAAATCAGATTAAATATGCTCTTTAAAATGATATCCACTTTGATATATTTTTAGTACAAAATAAATTGAATAATTTTTTACCAGTCATTACCATATGGTATGCTCGTATTTAATACCATATGGTAAGAAAGCGTACCATGATGGTATGAACATACCAATATGGTAAGAAGGTTGAATACATGATAGTAGGAGTATACTAACTGTCATTTACGACTTTCATCATTGTTTACCACTTGTTACCGCCCACATACCATAGTGGTAAAGTATGGTAATTTTTGGTCCAGTATTTTTTTCACCCAGAAGTTTGTAGATCCAATAGATCATGATGAACTCGTTCCTTCTGAGCAAACGTGTTCAAAAACGACTTAAAACGAAGAAGTTACCATATGGTATGCAGTTGGTAAAAAAAAGTTTCTCGAACTATATTGAAAATTGATCTCATTTTGTAGAGCACAACGAACTCGTTCCATGTGTGCAAAAAAATTGAAATCCGAGTTAAAACGAAGAACATAAGAGTCGATTATGAAAACTAGGGAAAATAAAATGTCTATAATTGAAAACCCTTAGATCTGCCCACTTAGATCTAAAGGTCCAGATTTAGTTACTCATAGGTCAGACCCTATCCTAAGCCCATTTGGATGGGTGATTATAATGAGCCAAATAACTCGTTCGACACCCATTTTAATCAATACGTTATTTGGGGACGCGGTATTTAACAATAACACGAAATTGCGTTATTTCAGAATAACGCACTGACGCTCTCTTTCTGTCCCTTTCTACCCTCGCCTCTCTCCTCTCTACCTTCTCGCCTACCTATTTTCTTTGAAAGCTTCAATGGCAGACAGACCGAAATCAACTGAGGGTTAATCGATTTTTATGCTATTTTAGGGTTCCTTTCCGCACGCAGATCATAATGAGTAGGCGATACCCTAGGTGGTGGCATTCAGAGAAGACAGAGATTTTTTCGGCGGTGATGGCAGTGACGGCGACGAACAGAGAGTTAGCCAGTCGTTGTTCTGGTTTTCTCGCCGCCTCATCACCAAGCTCCTCGACCTCAATCAGGCCAGTCGAATCACCATCTCCAAAGTCATCGAGTATTCCTGGTTCAGAAAAGAAGGAAGAGATTTTGATTCGTGGCTCTACTTCTCCTTCCCTTGTTTGTTGCATGCTTTTGCTGGGGTTTGTTTCCAGATTTGGTGCTGGTTTTAGGCTTTGTTGTAGTTTAATTGTTCGATTGTTATAGGCTTTGCTGGGTTTTTTTCTTCTTCTTCCTCTCATGGTTCCAATTGATGGTAAATAGAATGGGGGAAGAAGGTTGATTAGGGTAAATAGAATGGAAGTTCTTGGGTTTTGGCGGCGGGACGATGGGAAGATTTGGAGTAGAGAAATTATTAAATGGGCACTACACACTACACAGCAGAGAAATAATTGAATGGGCAGATTTGGATTAGAGAAGAATTGGCAGTTTTTTGTTGGGTTCCAAATGGAACAGAGAATTGAAATTGAATGTTGAGAAGAAGGCAAAGAAAACCTCGAAGTAGCGAAGAAGGGCAGTGGGTATAGGGTAATAATGTGATTTTGTTTTTTCTTTTACGAAATACCACATAATTTCAATGTCAAATAACTCTGAAATACCACACTTCTAAAAAATGATGCACAAATAGCACACTCCAACAAATGATCCATCCAAACAAACCTTATGCATAAGATATCATCTCACTACATAACTAAGCATAAGTAATTTTTATATGTAAATATCAAAAATACCATAATAAAATTTGCAAAAAGCAAATCAAATGGTTACATCACCTGAGAAGTACAGGAATCCAGTTGCACATTCTTGAGATTATTTGGTATGATTAAATAAACATTTTAAGACAGTCTCAAGATTTGCTTTCCATCACGGGTTGGGTAGTTGCTGGCCAAAACTGCATTATATCCAGATCATTCTCTTCTAGAATGGGAGACTGAAGAGGTGATCTCTACTATTCTTGATGACATTATTTTGTGGCGGGCATAATTTCTTGAATTTCCTTCACAACAATAAAATTTTCCTGGAGAGAGACCAACTAAAAAGGCACCTCTATGGTGCTAATAATCTCTATTCGAAGAGACAAAGTCTGCCTTGAGGCATAGAGGACAGACGAATGTACGACAAAGACAGCATAACCGAATATACAACACCAATTGTATAATTGGTAGTGTTCTATTCAACTTAGGCAGATCATCTACCGGCAAGAGATTAACCAAACCGACTCCCTCGGGGATTAATCCGGAATGACATATGATCAAAAGTTATCTGAATTCCCAAGAGGTTATCTCCCTCCTAGGTCAAAGCTCAGTTAACATGTAAAATTCATACAATTTATGATAAACATTCATCAACTAGATAATATCAGCAATCAAACATAGGATTTGTCACATACATCAACATCAAACCAAAATCTAGATCTAGGGTTCATCAACCCAAAATAAGAGGTCTAATTCATAGAGTAGAGGAGAGAGATTACAATACAAGACTCAAATTCATACATCTTCTTCTAGGAGTTGATCTTCAAGATCCAATGGTGGTTGGAACTTCCAAACAACCTCCAAGAACCCTCTAAAGCCCTCTCTCCCTCTAGAAATGCCTCATAGGTGTTTTGGATCAAAACCCTAAGAAAAAACCATTCTCCCTTCTCCTAAAACCCGCAGTTGCATATTTGTATGCCCTACAATGCAGACTTCATGGTTACTATTCACAGCCGTGATATTAGTAGGAAAATGGTGATCTTAGCTGAAAATGCACATTTTTCACACATCACGACTTTGTTGTTATTATCACGGTCTGGGACCATGATCCTTGCAATGCCCGCGAGCGGTGTGAAGCCTCCTGAAAAATTGCACACTTCATGGGTTTGGTGTAATTTTCAGTCCTTATGGTGTGATACTAGCACCTAGCCCATGATGCTTGCACAGACTCCACTTGTTGGCTCGTTTTGACCTCCGAGTGTCCCGAAACTGACTTTATTGGTGTGCTACAATCCCGTATAGGTTATGTCAATCATTTTTATGCCCTATCTCAATACTCCATTTTGAGCCAAGTATAACTAAAATGTCACTGCAAGTACAGTGGCTACCAAGGTCGTATTCCACAGGTTTTGATACCCTTGGCTACTTCTCACTTCATTTTTATCTAGTCAATTGGTTTAGGTTTTTGAGTTGGAGGTTGATTGGGAAATACTGGTGGAAAACGGAGATAAAAGAAAGGTACGTCAGGGTACCACCCTCGCCCTAACCTAAGTTAATCATGAAATGGCTAACTGTGTTGGGTTGATAGGATAGGATAGGATGCATAACTCTCTAATCCGGGGATTACAATAATTACTTTCACCTCAATCAAAGTTTACATACTACGGAAGCTCACTTAGTTTCTCTCAATATGTTCAATCTATGATGCATACTAGATCGGTGTTTCGATTAGACTGCACACGACCTCTTTAGAATTCCTTTAGGAGGTCATTCCTATTGTAGGATTTTGGTCGCCACCTACACTAAAGAACCCTAAGATCATTCATCTACCCTTAATTATCCACATGACGCTACCCAGTCTAACCCTAAAATTCCCGCCTAGGTCTAGATTCAGTTGGAGGCTAGTAGAAGAGTTGGGAGACATACCCAATCATAATTAAGCATAAATGAATCATATAATCACTAAAGCAAACATATCCATACACAAACCCTAACAAAATTAAATCTACATTCAAAACCTAAATATGAGATTTGGGGTTTTTAACCCATAACACCTTAGAGAACTATGCCATGATGGGGGGCAAGAAGATACATGGGAGAAAATAGAAGAAGTCTTGATGTGAGAGAGCTCACATCCTTCTTTTCTTCCTCATTCTGTTCTTCTCCATCCTTAAGCTTCTCTCTCTACTTTTCTCTGTCTTAAAACCATAATTTCTCAATCAATTTAACGTCACAAATGTAGGGGTAGGAATTCCCTATTTACATATTTCAAAGATTCGGGCAAGTTCACTTTCAGAGAGACAAAGTTCACGGGTGTGATCTTGGAGGTTGAGGTAGCGATCCTAAGGTTGCCATATACGTGTTGTTGGTAGCTGATTTATTGCGGGATGACATTGCGATCGCGATGCTTAATGTCGCCCCAAACTTTATCAGCGGCAGGTGTAACAAAAGCTGTGAGTCGACTCTCGAGACTTTCTTGACCTCCCTCATTGGCTGCTCCTGAAGTTCGTGCCCTCAGCTCCATACTTTGGGTCCCGGTCTCAGCAGCGCCGACCTTGATCTCCTAGCCTTGGTTCATGTCCTCTCTTCGTGACCATGTTCTACTTGCCTTCGACTATGATCTCTCAGTTTTCATCCATAACTCTACATTGCACACTTTTGGTACCTTAAACATACATGCCATCTAATATACCCTATAATACTGATAATACATAAGAGGAACGAATCAAGGGAATATTTGACGACATATTGGCAATGAAGAACATAAAAAGACTCAAAATAAGCCTAAATATGGGTTCCAAATAACACCAATTTGAGTGTTATCAACTCACTCACAAATAGGTGTTTGCTTGTCCCCAAGCAATCCTACTCAAACTAGTACAACTTGATAAACAATCAATATGGTATGAGCTATATTTATTCGTTGCACTAGTTAGAACAGTAAGGGTCGAGTGAACGTTACTCCCATCTCACTGTGAAAACACGAACTCACAGATGAGGACCATGTTAACTAAATAGGTCTAGACATTCACAGTGTGCACCTGGGGACTTTCAAAAACAATGAAAACAAAAGACTCTATGGATGCTCTTTATTCTTTCTTTCAAGATAGGAGTTTGTTTTACCTTGATTCTCCTTTTTTTTTAATTTTGCTGCACTTGGCATTAAACATTTGCAATTTTTCTTGAAAATTGGCATCTCTCCCTCGTAACCAAGCCCAGAAGAAACATTGCGTTCCCGGAATGGTCATCATGTGGGGAATTTGATGGTCAGATTCATTGCTCGAGCACCAATTCCCAGCCTACATACTGCGTCTCAATGACAGACAGGTTTTCCACACATGTTGGGTTCAAACGAGATCTGAGATCTCGTGGTTCGCTAAAAGGTGCTTTGTACCTTCCCATACAAACTCTTGGGGAGGAGAGGTGTTAGGGGCGGAAAGTAGTAAAAGATTATCGGGATGTGATAAACCTATCCAAACCCCAAAAAAAAATCCTCAATTGGTACTTCGGACTAAGAGAAGAGCCCTTTGACGGCTCAACTCACACACTATGCTCGATTGCTCTCACATAAGAACCTCAATTTTTCAAGAAATTTTTTATTTTTCAAAATTGATCACATTTTGCAAATGTTTTTTAGTCCAAAAAGAAAATTGAAAGTCTCGCACACATTTCTTTACCTAAGTAGGAGACATTATCAACTCACCAAAGAGGAAGATAAGAGTAAAATCCCTCATACACCAACAATTCTGGTAAATGCAACAAATAAGAGTAAAATCCCTCATACACCTACAATTCTGGTAAATGCAAACTATTCCTTATAAACCACGCCATGTCAACTATCTAGCAATTCAAAGAACAAAAGAACTCAAGAACAGGGTAGTGTATAGGTCTTTTATGGAGGGAACTTTCGTGCAATCTTACACAAGGAAAAAGGCGCGAGAAGTATAAGGTAGAAGCTCCACGATCAAGGTGTGTACTTGATCGATACAAGTACTTCAAGCAACGTAGAATCCACCAGGAAGGTCGACAATTCAATAAGCAACAAGCTTAAGGAATCAAACTCACGATTTGTTTTCAACTATGGATGGGACACTTCCGCCACCCCATAATACAACCTTTGGGGAGTTTTTGGTGCTTTGGATGTTGCTTTGCTCTTTCGAATCTCACCCGACCTTCGATCCCAACCACCAACAATCACACCATATTCGGTAACATCGTTCTACCTAGTTATTTTATGTCATTGCGGGCAATGTCAAACTTAAGCGTGGGGGTATTATTTTATGTTTGTGTGCGTGAATGATTGGTGTGGTTTTGAGTGCTTGGATCCTAGTTAAAATAATTGAGGGCTCCAAGCAAAGCAAATTCTCCATTTGCATGATCATAATGGATTAATGGGACTTTTGGTGATTTGTTTTGAATCTCGTGGCTATGAGCGTCAACGCATGAATGGCTTGCTTGTGATTTAGAACAACTTTTGATGATGACTGAGATATGCAGTATATGTTTGCGACCCAATGTGTGTTTTGGATCGATTACTCACTCTTTACATCTGTCTATGCATCAATATTTGGGAAGTCAAAATGAATGGCAAAGCATATAGGTATCCATGTGAGATTTGTGCATGCTCATTTCTTTCTTTTGTGATAGATCTCTCTTACTGATATTCGGCTTTAATATATCGGATTCTTGGACTTTATGTGATTATCTCATGGTATGTTTTAGCCAATTGGTGCTA